GCGCATAGCCTCTCTGGACTCCAGTCTGTACCGCGTGGATGAGAACATGACCGCCTCCACCTACAGCCTCAACAAGATCCCCGAGCCCGGCTCCGCCCACTGCTCCACTCACCCCGCCCCCCTCTACCTCATGCCCCGCCCCAACTCAGTGGCAGGTGAGCGAAGCCCCGCCTCCTCCGGGTGAGGTTCTCTTGATCAGCGGTCATGTGATTTCCTGTTGTGCCGCTCGATGCACAGAACAATCCCGCTGCTTAGTGAACAGCTTCCTGCGCACAGCCCAAACTCACTCATGTAGATTACTGAAACGTGTCGTACAGGGCTGGCTGACATTCAGAATATGAGAATCGGGATTCGGCTCTGTTATAGTTCATGACTTTTGGGATTTGAATTGAATTGACCACAAACCACAGGATGCTGAATTGGAATTGCGATGAAAAGAAATTCAAGTCACACAACAACAAAATACACTAGAACAGCTGTCAACGTTTTCCTCTTGCAAGTTTGCTTGCTTCATAGAATGAGAGTTAATTTATTAAAGGTTATGAAATATATACAATTGATCAAATTTCATTCAATTTCTATTACTAACTTTATGAATATTTAACATTTATTTATAATTGACTTTTAATGTTTTAGTATTCATATTGGAATATATAATAATGATAATATTAATTTAATTCTATCTATCTATCTATCTATCTATCTATCTATCTATCTATCCGTCCATCCGTCCGTCCGTCCATCCATATATATATCCATTTATAATTTATAACATTTATAATAATTTATAATTTAATTTATAAAAAATATATATATATTTTTTTTTTATAGGTTATGTTATAATATGTTATATGATCACATGTTCATGGGTAATTTATACTGAAAAATGAAATGTTTCTTTAAATGTCATCTATTTTAAGTCAGCTTCCTCACATTCAAATTCAGTTCAGAAGGAGTTTGAAAGGCGTTCTTGATTGGTTCTGAATGATGGCTGGCCCTGGTGTCCAGGTTAATGCTTCAGTCGGGTCAGAACAATCTCATCCGTCTGCAGCCGCTCAGAGCCATCAAACTGAATCAGCCAGGTCACAGACCGCATGTTTCAGCTCTGCGCTAACAGGAGATAAGAGGCGTCTAATAGCGGCAGTAATGATGGAGTAGCACTCGCTCCCTGAGTAAAAGCTAAATCTGTCTGATGATGTTGATATGTTTCTTAAATAACGCAGCGCCTCTTCATTGCTGGCTGATTGTGTTATTGTCCAAGTAATCAACATTGTTGTATTTATGAGAAGAAGCGTTTTTAGGAGAGAGAGAGTGAGAGAGCAATGAGTTATGGTTATCTCAAAAGAAAGTGGCTCTCGGAAGGGCAAGTGATATTAAAGATTATTTCTTAATGGAGAAAATGGCTGGTATTCACGCTTGTGATCAGGAGTGATGCAGCTGCTCTGAACATTAAAATATACTGTCATCTAAAGAGAAATGTTTCTGTGATGAATAGCTACAGAATTGAAGTTAACACACAAATGACAATTCTGTTATTATTTACTCATCGCCAGGGCCTTTGTTACAGCCGTAAGACTTTGTTCTGTGTAACACAAAAGATACATTTTTGGAGAATATTATGGCTGCTCTTTCTATATATTCAACTGAATAAAGACTAAAGTTGTAGAGCTAAAAAAAAAAAAAATAATAATAAAATAACATAAAGGTGATCCTTATTTATGTTTTGGTATTTGTTTATTTGTTTGTTGTAGTTTTGGTATTTATTATTAATACATGAATATCTATTTTCTTTGCTGTTGTTTTTTTAACATTAAAATAAAAAACATTAGGTGTTTCCTTAACAGCTAAAAACAACTTTATAGATTGCATTTCAACCATTTATTTAATATTTATTATTAATGTGGTATTTATTACTAATAGGTCTAGTCTATTGTTTTTGTTTATTTTAGTAGCCCACACTCTTAAAAGTAGCGGTGCTTAAAAGGTTCTTCACAGCGATGCCACAAAAGAACCATTCAGTCAAAGAACCATCTCTTTCTTAGCTTTTTATAATCTGAAGAACCTTCTTTTGCCACAAAGAAGCTTTTGTGAAACAGAAAGGTTCTTCAGATGTTAAAGGTTCTTTATGGAACCATTTAGACAAAAAAAGGTTCTTCTATGGCATCGTGAAGCACCTTTATTTTTAAGAGTGCATATGTCATATGTGTTTAGAGCAGTGGAGAGTCTGTTGATCTAAAAATTGTATTTTTTTATGATTGTTTTGTTATACCAGAATATCTGCTGTTAATGTTAAATCCCAAATGACCTGCACTGATCTGTGTAGCACAAAAGCTGCATTTCTGAAGAACGTTCTGGCTGTTCCTTTAATATCATAATAATGTCAATGGAAACTGGAGTTGCCAAGCTCCAAAATGACCAAAATTCACTTTAAAGTTACCATAAAGTTGGTCAAGTTGGTCTTGGTGGTATATTGCAAGACTTCTAAATGCCATACGAGAGATTATTATTCACAGTCATAAATATTCACGGATATTCCGAAAATGCACTACAAACATCATATGGACTTCAAAAATTGAATGCCACTGGTTCTTGAGATTAAACCATAGCACAACCACCGAGATAAGGCTTGGAATATAGTGCATGAGTCTGATGGATGATTGTTTGTGATGTGTTCATAGATCCAGTCACCATTGACTATATGTAGTGACATGGGTGTGAGTGAATCACATCAGAATGGAGGAAATGTATTGAGTTATCATTAGTTTGTCTAGGTCGCAGACAGCGCTGATTGTTTATTCACAGCAGATGAACTCATTAAACATGTATCGTAACGTGTCTTTTACATCAGTCAGAATCACAATGAGTGGCCGTCTGGATGTCTGTAGTTAGGACACAATAGTATAAGCACGAGCTGAAGAAATACTAATGAGTCCCATCTCATTAGAAAGAGAAACCAGAGATTAAAGCCTGTTTGGATGGAACTAGTTTTCCTGAGGAGGTTTGGTGAAAGTCTGAATCAAACGTGTTTTTGTCTGACGAGCAGGGTAAAAATTCCAGGTTTGGAAAAACTTCAAATGCAAGATATTATTTGATCTTTTCATTTATTTTCACCTTGGCTGAATATCCGAAACTACATTTATCAGCCCACATTCACTTTGCATTTAGACCAGTTTTTTGCTGGCACAACGAGAATGAACTCATTAATAAGAGCGACTTCTCAAAATGCTTTTGTGATCGTATGACTTTCCCGAAACCCATTAGATATAAAAACTGCAAAAATGTTTTTCTTGATTTGCAGAAATTAAGTCTTGTTTACTGAAAAAATGTATTGTGTGAACAATAAAAAATAACATGTCGATGGGATAACAAACGTAAACTTTATTCAAACAGGACACATGTACATTTTTCTTACTCCACTGGCAGGGATTTGGTCTTGTTTTAAGCATAAACTTAGTTAACGGTGAGACATTTTTCAGAATTTATTAAATAAAGAGTTCTTCTGACGGCACCCATTCACTGCAGAGCATCCATTGCTGAGACACTGATGCAATGCTACATTTCTACAAATCTGATGAAGAAACAAACTCATTCTGATCATGCATGGCCTGAGGGTGAGTCAGTTTTCAGCAATTTTTCACTTGTGGATGAACTGTTAATTTTGCTTCTAGAGAAAATGTATTTTGATTAGATATTTGTACAGAAAAACAGGACAAAAATACTAAGAATATCATTTTTGCAGTGTACAGAGATCATTTGTATCAGTAGGTCATCGCTTAATCATTGCAACTCAAACATCGCTTAGAAAACAAATCTCGTCTGAACGAGAGATGTGTAGAAAAAAAATGAAAGTCTAAAAAAGAAAGATGAAAGGGCAGCGATATAAATAACGTACTGAGGTAAGTGATAATCTCAGTGAAAAAGAGAGCGAGGAATACTCACTATCAACCCAAATGATGTAACGAGGAATGCATAAAAGGAAGGAGAGGGGGATGAAAGAAAACAGTGTGAGAATAATGGCAGGTAAAGGACTGGAGCGAGAGAGAGAATGCTGGCTGCTGATTGGCTGAGCTCCAGCGCCGGAGGAGATCAAAGCATCTCAAACCCCAGATCCTCATCCGCACAGAGAAACCCGAAAACTCAGAAAACTCAGAGATGAGGAGGTGTGAATGGAGCCGGAGGAGTGCAGATTGTAGATTATGTAATGTTTTAGAGGTCTTGTGTTGTGGGAGACACTGAAGCCATGTGAACGTCCTAATTAGAGGTTTCTAGAAGAGA